GCCAGCAAGGAGAGCGCCTCCGCCACGGCCGCGGTTCCCTGCCCGCCTCGCGCCCCCTGTCGTCGTCGCCGCCGTCGCCGCCGCCCGCCGCCGCATCGCCGCGCCCCCGCCGCACAGCGCGGGCAGCAGCGATCGCATCGCAGAGTGCGCGCCCCGCCTCGGCGTGTGTCGCTGCGGCGAGGGAGGCGAAGGGAGGCGACCGCACCAGCGCGGCGAGGAGTGCGACGAGCTCGAGCAGCGGGCTGGAGAGCGGGCTGGCGCAGAGCTGCATCCGAAGCCACGCCAGGATGCCGTGCTTGCTGAGCAGGGCGGACGCGCCTATGCAGAAGGGTCGGACAGCCTTCCCGGACGGCCCCTCGAGGCGTGTCGTTGCCGGGCAGGGCGGAGGCGCCGTCCGCAGTGCCGCTGGCGCGCAGCAGGACGGCGAGGCAAGCCCTCCTCGCGGGCGGGTCCGCGAGGCTCGAGTCGCTGAAGCCTAGAGAAGGTTCCGAGAAGGTTCCGAGAAGGTTCCCACGAGTCGCAGAGCCCCTCGAGTCGCTGAGGCCGAGCAAGAGCTCGAGCACGTGCCTCCCGCCGCAGAGCCGCGCGTCCTCCTCGGCCCGCAGCCCGTGCGAGAGAAGGGCGAGCATCCACAGCCGGTCGTCGCGCGGCGTGCTCGAGCCAGAGTGGAAGCAATGGAAGAACATGGGCACCTGTAGTCGATGGCTCGTGGTTCGTAATTCGCACTCAGGAGTGGAGCAGCGGAAGAAGAGGGCGACGTCGGAGAGGTCGAAGAAGGCGCGCGTGAGGATGTAGTTGTTGAGGGCCTTGTACTGCGGGTGGTGCGGCTGCGCGAGGATCGCCAGCCCGTGCGCCACAAAGACAGACCACAGCGAAGGCACCCTCAGGTTGGGCTTTGTGATGGCGTCTTGCAGCGAGCGAAGCAGCCGGACCACGTGAGGCCGCTCCTGCTCACAGCACGAGCCGTCAAGAGACGCTGTCCACAGCGGCAGCAGGAGGACCACGACAAGGGCCGCTCCCGGAAGCTCGGACCGTTCCGCAAGACAGCCATCAGCGCCGCGACCGCCTCGTAGGCGAGCGAGCGGGCGGAGGGCGATGCGGCGGAGAGGCCGACGACCAGCAGCCCGGCCGCTCCCTTGGAGATCCAGCGCGGCGCGTCGCACCGCCCGTGCCGCAGCAGGCAGCGAAGGACGAGCAGGGAACCGAGGGCGTCTGGCCGCGGCCCCTCCGCCGCGTCGGCACGCGCCACCTGCTCACGGCTCAGACACGTGAAGAGACGCCGCTCTAGCCCACAGCGCCTCCTCCGCCGCGTGCTCGCACGCGCCGCCTCCCCGCCCTCCAGCGGAGCGGAGGCAGAAAGCGGCTCGCCGCCACAGCCCGCCGGCTCGGCAGGCAGCAGCATGTCGACGGGGAAGGAGCGGACCAGCTCTCTGGCGTGGCTAGCGCGGAGCCAGTCCAGCGACTCGAGCCTGTGAAGCAAGCAGCAGTCGTACGCAGACGCGCTTCACAGGTGCGGCTCTCAGCGAGCCCGGCGACTCGAGCCTCGCAGGGTCGAGGAGGGACTCGGCGCCGCCGCCGGCGACTTCGGCCGCCTGCTCAATCCTTAGCCTGCTCAATCCGCGCTTAGCTGGCGGTTGGCGATTTCACAGGGGAGGTGGCGGCGCCGGCCGCCTGCTCGAGCGAGAGGTGAGGCAGCGCCGCCCCGTTCGCGCAATGCGCGCCGAAGAGCGAGTACGCGCTTCGCCGCCCACCCTCCGACGAGGCCTGTGCACAGCTCTCTTCCTCTGTGTCCTCAGTTCGTGCTCCTAAGACCTCCTTCCGACGAGACAGCCGCCGCGCAGCCGACGAGCAGCTCGACGGCCATCGGCGCACCCATCGGCGCCGGCTGCAGCGCGGCCAGCGCAGAGAGCACGTCGAGAAGCTCGTGCGCGTCTGGGGCGCGCATCGACTCGCGCAGCGGCCGGCGCAGCTCGAGAAGCCTGCGCAGCGCTGGAGCGAGAGGGGCCATGTGCGGGCCGCACGGGCCACGAAGCAGCGAGGCGGCGAGGCGCAGCGCGTCGGCCTGCGTGGGGGGAAGTTCCGAGTAAGTTTCCGAGAAGGCTGCATGGGGATAGCGGGGCGAGGACAGGGCAAGGCTGCCCCCTCCGCCGCCGTGACGAAAGCTCGCACCGCCTCAACCAACTCGAGCGACGGTCTGCCGAGCGCGTGCTCGCCGTGCCAGGAGGTGGCCAGCCGCGCGCCCTACACAGGGGAAGGGTCGCAGAGGGCTGCGAGAAGGGGCGTGCAAGAGGGTGCAGAAGACCAGCACCGCCTCGGAGCACAGCGCGGCCCGCGCCTCGGCCGGCGCGGCACGCAGAGTGTCCAGCACCGCGGCGACGTCCGCGTCCAACTCGCTGCGATCCAACTCTGCTGCCACGCCGGAGCAAGCCACCAGCGCCGCGCAGAGGGCGCGCGCCGCCGCCGCACCGCCCGCCGCGCCTCCACGAGGGGCGGGCGAGGAGCGGATGCGGCGGCGGAGCGGAGGCAACACGCCGCTGAGCTCGCCCTCGCCCCAGCCCGGCGATGCGAGCAGCAGCGTGCAAAACACCTCGACCGCCGCCTCGGCCGCAGAAGCGGCGGCGGGGGCGGCGGCAGGTGAATCCTCCTCCTCAGCGCCTTCGAGCTCGATCAGCTCGGCGATACGAAGGAGGCAGTGCGGCAGCGCGCTGCGCGGGAGAGGAAGCATCGACCTACCGACGAGTCATCACCATTAGGTTTCAGGCAAGAGGAGGGGAGGAGCTGCGCTGGAGAGGGAGCATCGACCCCGCCCCGGTCGCCAGGCGAAAGTGGCAGTAAAGCAGCGGGAGCCATGCAGGGGTGCGCTGCGCCGGTCGACCCGCGCCCGCGAGGCGGTCCTGTTTTCATCACGACGGGCTGACAAGCCCGCTCAACCAATCAAACTCGCCTCGCGCGAGAGGCGCCTCATCGACGGCAGCGGCGACGCAAGCCCCGAGCAAGTGCAGTGCTAGAGGCTCGGCGCCTAGAAGGTTCCTAGAAGGTTCCTAGAAGGTTCCAAGCCCCGAGCAAGTGCAGTGTTAGAGGCTCGGCGCCGAAACGGCGCACGAGGGCGAGCTCGCCCGTCTCCGCCGCGGCGTGCACCTGTTCGTAGCTAGACGCGTGAAGAGGCGCCGTTCACAGCTCGACGGTCTCTGCACCGCAGCGTGCACCAGCTGCGCCGCTGCGGCCGGCTCAGCGTAGAGCCAGCGCTGGAGAGCCGCGTCGAGGGACGAGGAGGCGCGACCGCCGCCGGCGCTCCAGAGACCCTCCAGCAGGGCGGTCTGCGCGCGCCGGTGCGACACACCGAGCGCGAGGAGGCAAGCGCG